ATCTTCTATCGATACCAATGAAACATCTTTGATTAACTCTTCTGAAAACTTTCTAACTGAACTATCTATTGAAAGTCTTGGAGAACTTATGCTAAATATAACAACAGAAACTCTATTGTATGATCTTGCAAAAATGTGTGAAGTTTATTATAAGCTAAAATCTAAAAATTTTGATATAAAAAAAAAACTTGAAAAAATTGTTGGTAAAGATTTAGCAACTATAGTTAATTCAATAGGAAAAGCAAAAAGATTAAATGAAGTATTCGGTGATCAATTTACAAAACATGTTTCTATTTCAATTTCAGCTTTACGTAAATCTAATATTGATAATCTTATTAAGTTTATTCAAATTTATAACAAATAATTAAATACTGTATATACTTATTTTTGTAATTTTGTATGTATTAATTATATTTTAAAATTATATTTATATTTTACTGAAACTTGTAAATTTGCAACTTTAATGCTATTTGTAATTGGCTATAAAGTGACTATAAAGCAACTATATATGTAATTACTTTGTAGTAATTATACTTTATATTTACTATAAGTCAGCAATATGTTACTACTACTTATTACTACATTACTACTATTTTACTACTATTTTATTATACTTTTACTATAATTTTATTAAATTTTTTTTAAAATTTTTGTAAAATTACTATTTTACTATATTTTTACTACAATTTTATTAAAACTTTTTTTGTAAAATTATAGTAAAAGTATAGTAAAATAGTAGTAAAATAGTAGTAATATAGTAGTAAATAGTAGTAGATATATTACTAATTTATAGTAAATATAAAGTATATTACTACAAAGTAACTATATAGTTGTTTTATAATTACTTTATAGTTAATTACAAATAGTATTAAAGTTGCAAATTTGCAAGTTTTAATAAAGTATTAGTGAATGTTTAAATTATATTTTAGTTTTATAATAATAGATTAAAATAAATAAAAATAAATCAATTATAATTTAATAAATTAGATTTATCTATATTAAGTTTAAGAAAAAATATTTTTGTATACTTGCATAATTATTAAATCAGTATTTAGATTAGTATTACGAATCGAGCAAAAAATCATAATCGATTAGTTGAAAATTTTTAAAAAATCAATTAATAGTTGATTATGTTTAACTAATCAACTAATCAATTAATTGATTAATCAGTTAATCGATTAATCGATTAATCAGTTAATTAATTGGTCGATTAGTTGATTAATCGACTAATCAATTAGTTAAATATCTGTTATTCCACATTTCTATATGTTCGCATGACAGAGTTTTATGATTTATAATCACTACTTTAATCAGTAAAAAAACAATTTTCTGATAATGGTTATAAAATTGGACTAGTAAAATTTTTAGGGCTAGAGTTAGAAGAA